CATCCTTTAAATTGATGCGTGTGTTCATTATAGTGGAGTCCAGCTTGAAGACCTTTGCTCATGTAAAACTTTAATGAGTGGTTGTGGGGAGTTCCAAGAGGTCCTGTTATGAAGATGCCATTTCATGGTCTCTGTCAGTGCTATTCTAGTTTTATGTATGGGTAAATGTGGGCCTGCACAGGTGGGGGACCTGGAAGGGCCTTAATTTATCAATATACACACTATACCTCAGCTTTGTTATAGGCTCTGATACAGGTCATGCCATGAGCCATGATTACAGTTCTATCAAAATGCACTATTCTTGCCATTTTTTTCCTTTTTGCAGCCCAGAGTATCTCCTTAGTATCACCAGCTGATTTTAATGGCTTAGTAATGACTTTATACAACTGTAAAACACACCAGTTTGTACAATGTGAAGGGAAATCCAGTCATAACCCCAAACTGGTTCTAGTTGCAGCCCCTTGTTCTGGGATGCAGGCAGTAAGGCCAGTGCTTCATCTTGATGTGTCAAACAGTAGCCAATACTCTCTGTTCCAGGGGAAAAAATATCTTGCCCAGTGGGCATGCAGATAATGCCGTGTCAATTTAGCCAAGTTTAGCTAAGGCCTTTGCTAGCAGTACCATCCCTGTGTTTCCCTCAGTGTAGCACCAGAACGTAGCAGATAATGATGGTTCTTCACCTCTAATTGTGTAACTCCGAACAGCATGGAGAGCCTCAGTTGCTGAGTAGTAACACTTGGCAATGGAAAAATGAGTATTTCTCCAGTTCTCACCTTTCCTGGTGAAATTATGGCTTGTGACTTAAATGTTAATGTATGAACTATCACACGGAGAAATGAGAAGCTTCAATACCAGTCCATAATGGATTGAGAGCCCCTTGCAGTGGTGTGTTGCATACGAAGGGTATTTCTGTGGGAAAAGCCCATGTCCCATATGCCAGAAGTAGTTATGAGCCCTTTTTTGTGGTGCTGATCCCAAGTTTTGGCTTTTCTTTGGATCATACTGCATCTGTAGTTGACATCTATAAAATTCAAAGCACCTAATGGAAGGCTAAGTTATGGGAGAGTGTCATTCCTTGTAGAATAATTTAGTGCTGCTGGGTGGTTTGAGGCTGGGTCAGTGGTAAGTGATAGGTTTGGGTAAGTCCACAGGGCAACAGTTCTGAAGCTCTTGGTGGCTGTGTAGCAGGGCAGGCATCCTGACTGTCTTGGGATGCTTGCAGCACATTCATGTTCTTGGAAAACAGGCATCAAACTTGCACAGTTTGCCATTGAGAAGTAAAACACCTCTGTACATTTACTCATGGGATATCTAAAGGCTTCTTTATAAAGCTTTTTTTTTTTTTTTCTTTCTTTCTTTCTTTCTTTTTTTTTTTTTTTTTTTTTTTTTTTTTCTTTGAGGGGAAAAAAGCAAAGTAACTTTTAATGTAAAGGAAAAGTAGAGAGCACAAGAGCTGTCTGAAGTAAAGTAAATTAAGAAAAACATGCTTCCAGCATTTCAGGAGGTTTTATCTAAAAATTTCAGATTATTCATTCTATGCTTTCATGTGTAAAATGGGTATGGCTCCCCCTGCAACTACTGTCTCTTTTCACTGCATTTTAAGTGTTTCTAACTTCAAGACAAAGTGGGAAAAACCTCAGTGGTTTCTCCTGTCTAGTTTCTTTGCCGTGAAGTTAAATTTGCTCAGCCTCTTACATTAGTCATTAGTTGGAGTTTGGTGGTTATAAAGCAGTTGTGCTGATCACATGTACCTCTTCTGAGGAGAAGAAATTGAGAGAAATTAATAGATCTGAGCTTTGGATGGCTTTTATATAGTCAGCCTCACAGAGAAAACACCTTTTTGGGCATGAAGTTCTTACTAGCCAGAGCCAACGTGTAATTGATGCAATTATTTCTAAGGTTTCTGCCTCACCTCCTGTGGTGTGTGCACTAAACCACAAATGTTTCTGGAGTTTTAAACTTCATACATGTTTGTAGTGTTTCCTTAGTCTCTGGCATGGATTTGACTCACAAAGCCAGCTTTTTGTATGGTATAACCAAATGTGTGTGTTCAGAGGGTTCTTGCTCTTGTGGTGAACTCTACCTAGGTCTTTAAAGCTAGCATTGGAATTGCCTCCACCAGGTTTGTGGGGTGAGGAAGAATTGGTGTTGATGCTTCATTTGTAGGGCTGCTGTGTGGGAAGCAGGAATCAACTAAAACACCATTTTCGTGTTTAATCACGAGGATTACTTTGAGATCATCTGTGGAGAAAACACCAGTGAGACCACATCTCTGAAACTTAGTCTGAGGTTTCTAAAAGGGTTTTAAACATCTTTCCTGCATACCCTTACTGGTAGATGGCTAAAATCTTTTGGAAGAGTCCTAATGTTTCATCTAAATCCTGAATAACTCCATGTTCTGTCAACACTTTGAGTGCTTGATGGCTTGTCTGTATCATAAGTGTTTTCTCTCTCTCTCTCTTTTTTTTTTTTTTTTCTTGACACGAGGATGACAATTTTTATATTTATTTTGTATTTTTACTTTTTTTAGGTGCTAAAATTTGATTCCTAAGTTTGCTTAAACTGGTAAATTGAGGAAGAGCATGCGCTGTTTTGTTGCATTTCCTTCTGGACACAGCTTAGGTGGTGAGATTTGGCTATGGTTCAGCAGCTGACTCATTGCTTTTATTTCTTTGTCCTCTGTGGTGGTGCCTGAGCTGGGAGTTGTAATACTCTTGTTAAACATCTGTATGACAACATCACTTGTGTAGAACATTAATGAGCTTTTATGATGTGCTTTGAGAATGCTTTCAGAGAGCATTTGCGTGCCTACTCTTAGTGTTGTTAGCCTCTGTGTTCAGATACAAGGATTTAGCAGTGATAATAACTGTGTGCAGTCCTTAGCAGAGAAGGAAACTAGTTCCAGCAGTGTGGCTTCGTCTTACTTCAGATTAATGATCTAGATTTTGTTCAATGAAATATTAATAATACATTTTTAAAATAAGACTTAACACTTGCTTTTATCTTCAACTGGCTAACTTGAAAATAATGATTAGGCTTTGAATTCCACCCTTTTTTAGGAATTACATTAAGGTTAAATTGCTCTCTGATTTAAGCTGAGATAGGCGTATGTTGCAATTCACATGGTTACACTCAATTATAGAAAATGCAGAGTTAATTTTCCAAAGGAATGATAAATGTTTCAGTGTCGCCAAGGATGATATGATGATAAATCTCAACATGCAGTTAAACTAGAAGAGCGTCCAGGCCACTTCCTATCGTGTGAAAAACTTGATAGGGATTTCTACTCATAGTAACATATGGGGTTTAGTATTCTTTCAGAATCATTTTTCTGCCAATCTGATATATGAGGTTCCCTCTTCATTGAAAGACAGAAACTATTCTGCAGTGTTACTGTGCCCATCTCTAACTCCCCCAGTAGAAGCCTTTTCCTTGTGAGAAGAGCATGCTGCTGTTGAGAAGGGGAAGGCTTTGAGTTGAGCTTTACTATAACAAAGCACCCCCTACAAATCTTCTTTACTGCTGCAAAAATAGCAAATTCAAATGGACAAGTTGCCATCCTCCATGGCCCACAGGGGATGGTAGAGAGCATCTGTATGGCACAAGCCATTTCCATCCTTGGCATCTGCTGCTGACACTGCTACAGAGTGTTAGTGAACCTCCTCCTCGGCGTCCGTCCGTAATACTGCTGTGTGTTTAATGCCAATGATAACTTCTGGCAGTTGCAATTCATCAGCAATTGGGATTCCAACACAAACCTTCTACTCGTTGTTCTAGATGTGCAACATATATTATTATAATGGATTTAGGTGCCCTTTTATTGAACAAATGACTTGTTTAAAAAAATGACCCAACAATGTCTTGCAAGAACCACACCCAATCTGTTGCCTTTTTGTCTCATTTTCTTAATCATGTCATGATTTATAGCTTCAGAATATGGGATACAATTTCATATAAGATATAGCATTACTTTTTCTCCCCTTTTTTTTCAAAGCTTACTGGTTTAAAGACACACATGCTTGGTGTCTAATTGGAAGAGCAGCACTGACTTATTTGGATATATTACTCTAAAATTCATTCTGAAGGTTTCCACAGAATGCCAGGGCTTTGACTAGACCCCATATTAGCCCAATTTCATCACAGAATTGTGAACCGGGCTACCCCTAGGCCAAGAACCCAGCATATCCCTCACTTTTGCAATTCCTCCTGGGCTGGGTCTGTACATTTTCTTCCAAGTAAATGGCTGTTTTCTGCTTGTCCAGGGATGAGTCCATTCATGGAGGAGACATGAGTACGAACCATATAAACCTCTTGTTTTTTCTGTAATATACAGAATATCCCCTCTATGTAAAGTTTTGAAACAGATGAAGGCAGTGAAGTACAAGTTGTGGGGAGGTGGTGGCGGTGGTGGTAGTGGAAGGACGCTAATAATTAGAGCGATTTGTTAAAAACAATTGACATTCATTAACAAAGTTAAGTCTTGAAAGAAATGCGTTTAGTAATTGATTGGGATGCTGTGCACGTAGGTGACTCAGATGCTTTGGGCAGTCTAAGAGTATAAAAACACTCAACATCAGATCTTGCCTGATCATTTTTCTTATTTCTCTCGTGAAGTAGGTAAGCTTGATTTGAATTCCTCTTTCTAAAGAAAGTTTTGCTTGTTTTAAGTGAGGGTAAATCCTATGCAAATATTCTATGTATCAAACCAAAGTTTTCTTGATGTAACTATATCACTTTGTGACTGTTTAGCTCTTGGCTTTGGTACATGCAGGTCTTCCAATACTGTCTGGGTGATGATCTCCAATTGGTTTTTCATTAAATCTCATTTCCAGTTATTGTGTTCAATATAAGATCTATAGATGGTGTTTTCTAAGAACTCAGCTATGAAATTCTGCCTTTCCCTCTAGCCTGTTGGTAACTTTCCATTTCAGTGTTTGACTGTGGAACTTGTAAGATTTGTTGCCTTATTCTCATCATATTCCCTTGCACTTCAGATTAACAATCCCCCACATGACGCACTCCCTAAGCCCGTGCACCGATGGCAGTCCCTCGCTGTGTGGGGTGTCTGTGCCACAGCCCATTGCTGACAGCTGCAACGAGCCCTGTGTTGTGCAGTGTCCTGACTCAAGGGTGGTCATCTACCCTCCACCTGTGGTTGTGACCTTCCCTGGACCCATCCTCACCACCTTCCCGCAGCAAAGCGTCGTGGGATCTGCGGGAGCCCCTGAAGTTGGAAGTGGCTTCAGTGGTGCCCCTGCTCCTGGGGGCTCGCATGTGTATGGTGGTGCCCGGTGGGCACGGGGGTACCCGGTTGGAAGCTGCAGACCATGCTAAACCTAGTCAGAGGAGCTGCTGAAAGTGGAATGTCCAGGCGCGGATGAGCAGGATGTAGATACCTGTCTGAGCTCCAAGGCTGAGCATTTGGAGCTGCCATTAAGTGCATGCATAAATGTTTAGATCTCTGAAGAAAAAGAATCCATTTACATCCTTCTCGTATTACCCTTTCTGTTGTTGTTGTAGTTTTGTATGTTTTATTATTTTTTCTTTTTTTCCTAATGCCTTCCATTTTCTCTAAGTACTCTCTTCTCAAAGCTGTGGACTACATTTGTAATGCAGTAGGAGGTGAAGGGATTGGGCTGCCATCCATTTTAGACTGCTTTGTAGGTTCTTTCTGTGGCTAATGAGGTATAAAAAAGGGTCTTGGAGTGAGCCAGCCCATGCTCTGTGCTTTACGTGTGTCTCTGCAATAGGGAAACAACATCATCTATTACATGAATCACCTTACATCAAATCACAGGTTACAGGCAATTTGTAATCTGTACCATATAATTCTGCCTCTGTATGATCTGCTTCTTTCTCATTAAACATGACCTTGCAATATGTTATTGGCCTCTGCGTGTGTGTGCATGTCTGTTCCTCTGCTCCTAATTCAGGTGCCTTTGTCCTGCTGCCCCAAGCTGATCCTATCGACCTACTTCAGGACAGTGATGGTCAGGAGAGATCTGGCAGTGGGTTGTGTGCACCTCCCTTCTATAGCAACTCCTCTGCTACAGCTGTCCATTAATGAAACCGCTGCACACATCTTTCCTTCTGTTCCCAGTTCTGCAAAGCTCCTTCCTCAGTATTAGTTTCTTGTGGGGCTTTCTCTTCCTGGTATCATCAGCTTCACCTCCCTGTCTTGACATAACAGAATGCCTTGGTGCAGAGGTGCAAGGAGAATTGGTATTTGGGAGAGGGAACTGGAGCTGAAAGTTCAGCTTCTGGTTTTACTGCTTTGCTCAGTGCCTTCTGACAGTGTAGCCTTCTTGTAGGCATGTAGAAATGGATGGTGGAATTAATTCATGGAATTTTGAATTTCCTCAAGAATTTGTAGATAATAAACATTTCAATGTTTTTATGTTGCTGTATGTTTTTGAAATGTTATGTAGCTATTAATAGTTAAAGGAATGATATAAACAAGCACTGCAAAATGTGAGAATGCTAGATTACTTCAGAGTAGCTGCTCTATGGAGAGCTCTCCCTGTGTAAGGAAAACAAAGTGGACAGGCATTGTAATAGCATGTAATTGACTGTTGGTGAGCCTTGGATGAGATGATTAAACCAAGTTCTCACCAACCACATAAATCCTTCCCCACAAAAGAAATCCCCCAAACCTCAAAAGCCAGATGAAGGAATCTTTATTATTATGCTAATGGTGTATTTGGAAATGAACTCCAGTTTATTATTGAGGCCTCTAAATTTGCCCTTTCTGTTTAATAAGTTGAGACTTGCAGTTACCACAACACACCAAGTTGTCAGTAAAAGTGGGAAGCTTTGCCAGCGAATTTCTGTGGAAATATTTATAGTGCACCTTCTATTCATTTAGATATAAAAGATACTTGTGAAAAGCTCTGAGGCGTTCAGAGGAATGAAGATATTAAGTATCTCAAGATACTGGTGTTTTTTTTAAGACAATGGAAACATTTTTCACGTCTCTTATCTCATAATGAAATAACGAACCTTAGAATATTCATCAAAATATAGTGAGTTTTGAAGTACTTCTTGTTTCTCTTGCTGTTTTTGATGAAGCCAGTGTTTCTATCCCATGGGCCACTTTCCATTTCTTATTATACTCCAAGAAATATTTTGAAAAAGTTCTAAACCAGCTCATATATAGGTCCAATTTCTCATTTGAGGCTAAGTTTACTCTTTACAAGTGATTCTGACTTTGGCAGTGAATCTTTGTGCTAGAGGCATATGTCCTGCAGCATGCCTCATGTGGGTTGTTCACAAGGTGCATTTAAATTGGTAATTTCCCACTTGCATGCAGTAAATACATCCTGCTTCAGACTGGCATTCAGGACTCTAAATAAAATTATAGGAGTTAGTTTTCTGTTAACTAAATTAGCCATCTATCATCTGTGATCTCAGGCAGGCACAAAGTTCCTCTAATCATCCAACTTTTCTTATGCCTTAGGGCATAACACCCTATAAACTAGGGAAAAAATGCTCTTTACCCACCACTCTGAACAGGTGTAAGCTCAGAGTTGTTGGGGACCTTAGGGCTGATCCATGGGAAGTGAGCATCAGTGCTGTTGTCTGATGGGGCCAAGCGACAGTCTGTACTCTGGTCCTGTGATTTGGGGCTTCTGGGGTCACACTGATGTTCTGGATGGGTGGGTGATAAAGCTGTCTGGTCATTGTAAAGGCAGGGAGCCCCTGCACTGGGGATGCAGTCCACGGAGGTGGAGTTGTACTGGAGCTCAGGGAACTTCAAGGCAAAAACTGAAGCTGAGGTGGTGCCCAGGAGGCTCCAAGCAGAGCGATGGAGGGAAGTGGATGTAGGTGACCCTGTGAAGGGCCTGGGGAAGCTGGGGTCCATGGAGCAATCACAGCCCCCAGGTGGTTCCAATTCCCTGGGCACTGGATGAGGATCACACCCTCTGTCAGAAGCAGTAGCACTGCCGGTAGCAACCTGAATGGGGTGTGGGGAAGGGAAGAAACAGGTAATACATAGATACTGCTGTATTAGCAAGCATAGAGAGGCACCTGATGTTATGGCATGAGCTGAGGATTTCACTCAATTCTTTGGCTTTCCATCTTTTATCCTGCATTGCCTCTTCCTGTGCATCTGTGTGCTTAAGCACTTCCACAGTGTGCATGCAGGTGGGAAAAGCCTTGTGTGCCTGAGGGCATTCAAGGGAGGTAAGCTGTATTTATTGTGGTGGGAGACTCGAACCTTTCTTAATGTTTTCCCTGGGGAACCCAGCCCTTTCTGCTGCTGACAGCAGCTAGCAGAAGGATTATAAAAGGCGTCTTAATGGTTTTGCCAGTTGCAAAGGGTTGTACTGATTTGCTGCCCGTGTGTCCTGCTAGGAGCTTAGGGTGGAGGCTGCTATCCTTACTGTTTTGCCAGGGTGTCCTGATCTGACTCTGTCTTGCTCAAACTGGGGCAAAAAGAGGTGAGCTCGGAACAAGGCAGCAGGTCAGGCCAGTCTTTTGGCTGAGGCTGCTCCTTCCCAGGCAAGAAACTGGATCTGTGAGGTTTGTCCTCTGCTCTGGCTCAGTTCAAGGTCAAACGCTTTATGTGAAAGCATCAACAAGGATATAAAGAAATGGGCTTTGGACTGGAGGAATAACATTTGCAACACAGGGACTACTCTGCTAACTGTAATTGTTTCTAAGCCTATGAAAATGTTTCCCCAGTCTGTTCCACCAGTTAGTTTCTTACTTTTTCCTCCACTTAGCTATGTCAGCTGAGAAGACGTTCCTGTGGCTGTCATGAGAAAAGGGGTAGCCATGTAGGGTATCTCTCAAAAATCAGCCCAGAGGTGCCCCCTCAAAGTCGCTTTTACAACAAGATTTTTGACTCCTGGTGATGTCTTTGATGTATAACTGGGCTTGCATGGGATCCATGCAGTTATGTCTAGGCTACACTTGTTAAACCACCTTGTTTCATGCCAGATTATAATCTTTAATATTATAAATCTAAATCAAGACTACTCAGTGTTCCAAGGTGACACAGTACAGGCTGACAGGAACTGCTTGAATAACCTGGCTGTGCAGTTTGCAAAGGAGATGATCTCTCCAGCTGATGGTAATGGCTCAGTTGCCTTCAGTCTTTTCTGTTAGGTGTCTTTTTCCAAGCTTAAGAAGCATTGCTGTCTTTCCTTCGCAGACCACCTGATTTTAGCTTCCACTCAATCTTTCTTTTTGGAAATTATTTTTCAAACATAGAACTTAGCTTGCTCCAGGTGTATGTGCGTGGTAGTGCAGACAGTCAGCTGATGCCCTTTTCTGGAGGAATGTTGTGTAAACCCAGGGTCATAGGTTAATTAAAATAAGGTAGAACTTCGTCCTACTTTGAGAGACAAGTTGGGGCTGGAGCATTTTTGAAGGACATGTGTTGTCCTCTAATATCTGGAGTTTAGACCTCCCTCTTACTGTATGGTTGGATGGAGTGGCACTGCTGCTGGTGCATTTACAGTGGCATGTCAACAAAGACAAAAGGAGAAGAGGAGACAGCTGATAATATTATGCAGTCATTTTAATGGAGAAACAGAGCAAGTAGTTACAGAAAGAAAAAGTTTGCAGTTTTACAAAAGGGTCTTCAGCAAGCATTGTGTGTCTGATGCCAGATGGTGCTCTCTCCTCGTGGAAATGGTGGAGTTTGGCAGTCTGGACAAGGTTCTTGCTTACAGTTGCTCATAAGTCCTGTTCACTGCTGTATAGAGCACAGCATGGATATATAACAGGAGCTTCTCTACATATTGTATTTTGGAGAAGTTTATTGTGAAGCAAAGAGGAGTTTCTGGCAGTTGAAGAAATCTGCTTCCCATTGACACAGGACTGTTCCTATTACTATGGCACTACAAAATACCTGACAATTAATTTAAAAGTCAATTTTTCCATCAGCATGATGTAAAGGTGCCTCAATACTTGCTGTAATTCAAGTTGCCCTTTAGAGTAATAGCTGAAGAAATTCTTAAAGATATGAGAGGGTTACATATGGGGTAGTCCTAACGAAGCCTGGCACCCACATGCCTCACTGAACCCAGCCAGAGGTGTGGGGGCCCAGCATTTCTCAGCGCTGTGACCTTAGTCATGAATCTGTCTCCTGCATTTAATTTCTTGGTTTATCTTTCTGCTGGTTCCGCATAGATAGCAGCTTCAATAGCTGTATCTGTTGCCAAATTGAGAAAAGAAGGGGTAGCCATACCCAAAATTGAGGAAGTCCCCATTCCCATAGTAGCCCCCGTAAACATTCAAGCCTCTGCTGCCGTACAGGTTCCCAAAGCTTCTGTAGCCATATGGGCTCCCATATCGGTACTGGTCCCGGTAGAAGCCATATGGGCTTCCAAATCGGTAGCCATTCAGGCCCCCAAAGCTGTACTGGTCTTCGTAGCCGAATGGCGAGTAGTACCCATCATAGTAGAAGTCCCTGTTGAAGGTCATTGTTGGCTGATGTGGGTAAACCTGAAACACAGATGGGGGAGTAGGGTGAGCACGTTAGCTGCCAGCAGCGGGAGGGAAGGCTCAGAGCCCAGGTGGAGCAAAGGAAATGTGCTGGCACTGACCACGCTCCTTCCTGTGGGTTTTACATCCTCTTAGCTGCCTTGTTTATCTATCTAATCCTCTGAATTCTCCCAAACTTTTTTCTCCTTGTCCTCATCTTTTGATATTGGCTGACAATACTCAGAAAATATTCTTTTTACCAATTGAGAGCTGACCTTTCCTCCAAAGTTAATGAAATGTGAATAAAACAAAGAAAAATATGTCACTTCGGGTAGTGATGCTGATTCGCATCAGACTGACAACACATTTCATGCATCCCCCAATCTGGAGAGCCACGGGGTGCTCAACCCGGCATAAACTCAAAGAACACAATGAAATGGAGGAATTTCTTTGATGGATGTCAAAGTAATAAATGTTTCATATTTTTTATCTAAGGATTTGAATTCCCCACTCCTAAGGAAAATAATCTAGAGTTGGAAATTACTTATCACTTCAAAATTAAGTTGTCTCCTTACATTCTGCAGTGCTTTAACGCCTGCTATTAAATAAACACAGGAAGAGCAAAACAAGTTCCAGTGAAGGAATTGCATTCAAAATGAGAAAAAGAAACTGCTTACAGACTATCCATGTATACATGTGCATATATGCGGTGTTTTGTACATGTACACAGCACAGCCTTTTAAATATGTCCACACACACATGTATAAATATTTTTATCGAGACATGCATACAGATGTATATACACGCAAACATATATATATATATATATCAAAAAGTATAGAGTAGAGTCAGTATGGACTTACCCAGTTCACTGAGGAGAGGAACTCAGGAGAAGCGAATAAAACTTCGGAGTTCTGGGTCCGTATATATACCTTTCTAAACTCAGATGTTAGTTATACAATGGATCTAGTTGCGTGCATTATTCCTTCAACTGATGTAATCGGAGTCAGTGATTTTCATATTTTCAAAGTTTGATGCGATGACACACATGTCATACCTTCAGAATTTCTTTCATCTTAAAACAAGAAGAAATGGGCTCAGCACATTTCTAGTAAAATTGCATGGAATTCTTTGTAGTTGGATGGATGGGATGTTTAGACCATTACTGGTTGCGCAATCTGCTTGTAGGTACACCGTTTACTTGGCTTTTGCATCTATGGTGCAACACAGAGGGGAGAAAAGGAATATATTTGTTCTGTGTGTTGAGAAGTAGTGCTTCAGTGCTAGGTTATAGGTTGGACTATTTGATCCTAGAGGTCTTTTCCAACCTAAATGGTTCTGTGATTCTGTTCAGCAGCATTGTGACCTGTACTTAGTGCCTGATGATATTCGTGGGGTTCTTCTCTTGCCAGCGGCTTTGGTTTTGTCTCAAGTTCCACAACACTGATTTTGAAGAAATTTCTCTGCTTCTGCTTTAAGAATGTTCCCAAGTATTTCCTCCTGTTTTGAAAAATATATACATATATATATTTATTATTTTTATTTTTTTAGCTTTCAACTTTCATAAAACATAGTGCATCACCTTATTAGGACTTGGGAACAAGAGACCTTGATGTACATTGTAAGTGACCATATTATTAAAACTGGGGGTGTCTTTTGGTGACAAACTATTAATATTTAAATACTGCAACACTTTGCAAATTGAAAACATTAATGAGTGTTTATGAAGTGCTTTGGTATTCAGAATTCTGAGGAAGCCTCAGCATCCTGCTTGCTCATTATTATCCTTATTTTATATTCAAATTAATGTCAGAAATTAGGTGAAGGTCATACAAGGAGTTCTGTAGCAATCTCCAGTATTCTTCACTATTGTACCATATTTGACATGTGAGGTTGATTCTTTGCTAAGAAAATATTAACATCCAGCCTTGGAAGACATTATTTAGCACACCTCTCCAAATCCTTATCATTTATTATTTTCGAGGCAAAGTTCATACTTGTTTTCTCCACTTTATTCTGATGACCTCAGGGTCATGTCCTCTAACGAATTAAAGTGCAAACGATGCCGCAGTTGTATTTTTGCTGAAAACATTTTTTCTGCTCACGCAGCAGCATGACTTTTATTCACCATGGACATTTTGGAGGAATGCAATTAAGATTTATTTGTAGTTTGTGCTGGTCCTGTTTGCTGCAGTTGCTAAGTAGCTTAATAGAAAATTCCTAAATAAATGTTTGCACTTCCTTTAAGTAGAAAGCCCCTGCCGTAGCACAACAGAATTTCTGATGAACAATATTTCCAAATGTAGGAATATTTTACTTTTTTTACTGAAATTTTCTCTCCCTCCAATGGCTTTGGGAACTTACAAATGCCTTTATATAATATATAAATAAACTTCAGTTTTGACAGCGGAGACAATAAAATGGTATCAGGAATGTAGTTGGCCCAGAACATTTTAAGATGAAAGAAACCTGTAATATATGTGACATATGGGAGGTTGAGAACACACTAATAATCCCAAACAATGAGGAAAATTATATTAATTGAAGATATGACGTGTACAGGCAAATTTGTTTTCCAACCAATAAGGCTACAAACTCTTTGAATATGCAGGGCGTCTTAGATAAGCCAGGAGGGCAAAGGAACAGTATAAAAAGAGCTCAGAGCTCCAGGCTCTCCATCAGCTCTCTTGCCTTCCTTCTCCTGGTGAACTCGGTAAGCCTCTTCTCAATTCAATCTCTTCATAAGGCTTAGAGATTTTGGTCTGCTAGTTTGTTGGGATTGCAGCTCCTCTGAAGTGTAAGATTTCTCCATGCCTCGTACCTGTGCCTACTGCTGTGCAGGAGATTGCAGGCTCAGAATTTTAGAGCTAGGGCTGAAACTCTCCTGGTCCCGTTGGTACTTGGAATATTCAGCTCCTGGTTATCAGGCAGCTCTGTGGAGAACTTAAGAGACTTACAGAAGGATTTCCCTGCTGCGGCCCTCACTGGGTTCCTCCATAATTCTCCTATTTTATTCAGAGGGAGGTCTTCTTGTCTGTTTAGCAGGACTGGAATTCAAACTGATATTCTGATATGTCAATGTATTTGTAGTTTCTTGGTTTTGCTGTTAGCATTTGAAGATCCCAATCCAAAATCTGTGAATTACTGCAACAAGACTTGGAGCTGTTCTGGTTTACTTAAAGCTCTCTTGAAGACAGTCTTGAAGGATTTGGGAATGTAGAGCTTTATGCAAAGCTGATCTCCTAAAAGAAATCGGGGATTGATTACTCCTTACCATATTGACTAAGAAAAATCCTGAAACAAGCAACAGGGAAGTTTTGAGCTGTAACAGGTCTATTCCCTAGCTGGTAAACAAGAAAGAAAATTAAATGTTTTAAAAAGAACGGAAAAATGAGAAAGCTAATGACGGTAGGTGGGTGAAGATGAGAAAATGGAAATAGAAGAAGGGATGTAATAAGGAACAAACATTTAGCTTCTGTCTTCAGTGAAGAAGGCTTTGGACTCTGAGGCTGTTACTGCCTGGAAGTGTTTCTCACTTTGGCTTTCCTTCCTGCTGCTGCATTTCAGGTTTGCCTCCATCGCAGAAAGATGACTTTCTTCCAAGGCCAGTGCGAGGATGACTGCTATTCTCCCTGCGGTTACGGGGGCCTGTATGGCTACCGGGGCTATGACTGTGGAAGCCCTTGCGGCTACCGGGGCTATGGGAGCCTCTACGGCTACCGGGGCCTCTATGGCTTTGGGGACCGCTATGGCTTTGGTGGGCTGTACGGTTCCCGGGGCTTCTATGGCTATGGGGATGGCTATGGCTATGGGGGTCTGTATGGCGGCTATAGGGGCATCTATGGCTATGGGGACTGCTATGGCTACCCAGGCTTATACAGCAGCCGCTACGGCTACCCCTTCAGTTCGCGATATGGCCAAAGATACGGCTACGGGAGCTGCTACCCCTGCTAAACCCAGCGGGAACATCCCTGAAGTGAGGATCAACCCCGGCCTGGCAAGCATGGACTGACGGTGAATCTCAGTGGCGGTGTTTCCTGATGCAGAGAGCCCCAGCGCCAGCAGCCACCCCTCCGCAGGGGCTTTGAGTGCTCTGCACCACCACCCAAGTGCTTAAAATGTTTTTGTTTTCCTGCTTTGTGTCTGCTTGCTCTTGTGTACGTCCCATAGTCTCCTCTTGATCCACTGTTGGATCAAAAAACTTGCTTCTCATCAATGCTATGGTTCTATGTAAACTCTAGAAATGCTGCTGCAATATCTGGCTTTTACGTTTGTTGCAGTGATGTATTCTGAATGAATGGTATAGGCAGGGTGTTATGTGTCTTTGGGAATGTAGCCTTTCTGTTCTGTATACCTTTAAAAGTGTATCTACCTTTCACATTAAAAGTTATGCTTCATCAGTACTGTACTTATGGTTTTATTTTTCACTTCCATTTCTTAAATATCTTGAAATCAAGAGCATCACAGGTGGGGTGTCTGAAAGTTGTTGTTAACTTCATGCACTCCTGAATTTTTTCTCAGAACCTTGCCCTCCTCAAATTGGGGAACATGGCCATTTGCTACTGCAAGAAACTTCAGCTGTATCTCTGATGTATTTCTCAACTCCAGGCTCTTGTTTTATGCACTCCAAAGAAATGATTCATTTAAAATGCTTAGGTGCTGCAGAGAAGGCAAATCAGGTCCTAGACTGCATCTGCATGGGCATTTCTACCAGGCAGATGCGATCATCCCACTTTAATCAGTGCTTGTCAGGAACACCTGGAGCCTTGTGTCCATTTCTGGTCCCATGATTCAAAAAAGACAAGGACAGACTGGAAAGGGTCCAAAGGAGATGATCAAAGGTCTGGAGAACCTGCCTGGTGAGGAAAGACTGGCGTAGTTTGGTCTGGAGAAAAGCAGGCTCGGGGGGACCTCATCACAGTGTTCTGGTATCTAAAGTGTGGCTAAAGATGTAGGTGCTGTCTTCACAAGGCCAAACATGGAAGAGATGAGGGGAAATGTGTTACAAGCTGCATCAGGAGAGGTTTTGTCTCCTCGATACAAGAAACTTTTTACAATAAGGTCAATCAATCATTGGAGCAACCTACCCAAGGATGTGGCAGAGTGTCCACCACTAGGGGAGTTCAGTATGGGATTGACGAGGGTGCTGAAGGGCCCCATCTGGGCTCCCTTTCCCCAAGGGAGAGGGGAGGTTGGGGCTGGTGATCTCTCAAGGTCCCTTCCAACCTGGCCTGTTCTGATACTGAAGACATCATAGGCAATTGCAAATGCATGTACTTGCTGGCAATCCTGTTTTTAATTTTGGAATAAGCTCATGTTCTATCTGTTTGGTCTTCCCCAGTGGACAGGGAGGGGGAATTTGCCCTTGCAAAGTAAATACATTATTAGAAGTGGATCTCCAGCAGCCAGCACCTCCAAGGTGAGGCAGCAGGGCATGTGTGTCCATCAGGTCAGGGGAGTGGGTTCAGAGCCTGTGTTTTGGAAGGAAGCTGGGTCACAGCTGATTTTTCCTAATATTTTTTTCCAAGTGAATTTTATGGGCAGAGGGCTGACTTAAGTGAGAGACTGTGGCTGTGTGGGAGGACAATGACGGCGTTTTCTCACCGCTTCCGTGGCCAGGGGCAGCTGGCAGCTGAGAGCTGCCAAAACGCCCTGGGGACATTGAGTGTTGTTTCATGTGTATTGTTTTTTTATGAAAAGCTGCTTTTTTTTTTTTTTTTTCCACATTTCATTCTCAGTCTTCTAGTTTTCAGCCCCTGGATTTATTGAATTGTTATTGTAATTGCACCCAGGGAAATAGATTTTTTCTACCCAATGTGGAAGATTGAGGCAATGTTTTAGGTTTTCAAGGCCACCATAAAGACAGTGAAAGCCACCACTTCTTCCTTGACACTTTTCCTATTGAATTTAATATAAGATTTATTTATAGATATATAAAGTTCCACTGGCTGCTGCAGCAATTTGTCTGTTAGATGGTAATCTGATTGGAAATTGTGATTCTGAAAGAATATTTGAATATGGTTTGTGGGAATAGGAGTATTATACTCACTTGAACTTTCTTTTATGTATACTCTACAGAGGTCTGGGACTAACTCTTCTATTTTAAAACATTATAATAAAGACCATCACAGCCTTATTATGCTGAAATATTTTAACCTTACATCTGTAATAGTTTAAATTATTAAGGGAAAGGGAGAAATTTGTGGGATTTCTCAGATTTCTGAGGGGTAGAGAGAGGAAAACAGCTCATTTACTTGGGCCAACTTCAATGAACATGAAGGGATATAAAGTGCTCTGCACAAGAGGCAGGACCCCTCCCCCCCCTCAGAATGTCACTGCTCTATTGAATCTCATGAATGTCTATTCATGTAATCAAGGGACAGGCAAAAGAAGACTGGAACTTTGATTTTTTTTTTTTATACAGAAAAATTTTAATGCAATAAGAAAAGAAGGTGACACAGATACAGAAAGATCATAGTTTTGGCATGCTGAAAAGAGCTAGAGTAGATGAGTCACTACACTATGCTATACAGAACATTCCTTTTTGTGAAAGCTGTGTTGCTCGTTCTTAAGGTACTTGTAAATCCAGATCAAAGGAGGCACAGCCGTCATGTTTCTCCATTACGCAGTACTGCAGCACCTTACTGGAAGTAGTTATTGAAAATGCAGATGACACAAGAGCTAATTTTCACTGATGCAGGAGTTCTTTAACGTTGCTGCGGTGACTGGAAGAAGCTTCAAATGAACTGCAGATCATTCTTATTGCTGCCAAAGCGGTCTAAATGCGGGAGACTATCTAGAGTAAGCTTGTAGCTGAGAAACACTGGAAGAAGGAGACAGAAAGTATAACAAAAAATAGAAATGCTGAGAAATTCTAGAGAGCAGCCAAGCTCTCCATTCTTGGTAGCTTCAGCTGCAGCTGCAGGGGCTCAGCACTCCTGAAAACGTCGCCTCTGAGATGATCCATCGGTCTGTGCTTGCCGGGTCGGGGTAGATCCTCACTGTGGGTTCCCACTGGGTTTATCAGGTCTAGCAGCACCCATAGCTGTAGTTACAGCAGGATGGGTAGTAGTAGCGGGTGCAGCAGCTCCGGTAGCTGCAGGGGCTGTAGCAGGAGCTGTAGCAGGGACTGCAGCAGTAGCTGTAGCAAGGGCTGCAGCAGTAGCTGTAGCAGGGGCTGCAGCACCTGTAGGCCCGGTAGGAGGTACTGACAGACCTGTAGCAGGGGGAGCAGCACACGTAGTAGCAGGACATCTTGGGGGTGGTGGAGGGAGGTAAACCTGAAAGACAGCACCAGGAAAAGGGTAGGCTCAGTGCGCAAGGAGCAGCACGAGTAGTGGCAGGGTGAGGTGGGGGATTTGGAGGGGTACTGAGCAAATGTCTCAGTCTTGGGATATTCTTCTGACATCTGTTTTTATCCAGCCAATTGCTGTACTCCCCCCTTACTATGTTCAATGCTGAGACACAACTCCTATTCTTTATCTTCTCTTAAAAATGAACCTGCTACCTTGTATTTTTGGACTTTGACTACAGGAGATTCAGTTTGCCAACCGTATGTGTGGGAGCGCTTGCTGTCCAAGCTCCTAGGATGGTCAAGCTGAGGTTAACCCTGACAGCTAGACTAACTGCAGCTCAGGACACACACCTGTAGGTGTTCTAATGTCTAATGAAAATCCCACACAGCATTTTAAAAAGTTTTTAGATGCATTCATTCACTGCACACCAAGTTCAGTGTACAGAAGCCAGAGAACCACAGCCTGGTTGAGGTAGGAAGGGACCTCTGGGTCCCTCTGGTGCAAGCCCTGCTCAAGCAGGGCTACCCACAAAAGGGGGTCCAGGGCCACAGATAGACCTGGTACCAGTGCTGTTCCTGGGCACATTTCCTAGGACCACATTATCTCCTTGTCTGGCTCTAATCTCAGCATGTAAACTACTCCTTTTTCTGTCCTACATCACTTCAAACACCTTCCAATGTCAGCTGTAGCAAGGATACTGAAAATACTCTGCTGCACAGCGAGGTGCTAAGGTTTAATTCCTCTACTGCTGCATGTCAGAGCTGCTCTGGTGACTTCAGAGAGAACAAAGCAATTTCCATGTCCAGCCTGCATTCCTTATTGCAACATCTTTCTATAAAATAGCTGTTTCTATGTTGCGCAATACACAATTCTGTCCATTATCCAACATTTCATATGGAGTGTCACCAAGTCAAAAAAAATAAGAAATTTTCTTCAGCTGTTTAAATGGAATAGAGTAAAGCTGTTGTTTTCTAGTATGTAAACATAAAACTATTACTAGGCTTCACATCTCACTAATGTTATCTGAATTCCTTGCCTGAATGTTGGCTCATCAATGCCCCCCTTTTTTACTCTAACAGCTTAAAAAGTACAGGATAAAATATTTGTACCAATATTACAAATCAGAGAATGTTAGTAAAGGAGTTATCTAAGTTAAAGGAGTCTCTAAGAGAATGGGATCTGCACTTACCAAGTTCACCGAGGAGGCTAAACCAAGAGGAGTGGTGTGAGGAGCAAGGGGGTTGTGAGTGCTTTTATACAGTTTCTCGGACCCGTGGAAATAGGTGCGATTCTCCGCATGCTTCCATTCCCTGGTAGTCATGAAACACATTTCGGAAGTACATCAACAGTACAATTGCTATAATTGTTTTCCTCTGCATTTAGGACACTTTTCAAATTCCTCGGGTAACACATTGTGATTACTACCTGTGAGATTCTTTCATCTTAAAACTTTCCAGGATAAATGCATTTCTGGGAATTCTCAAAAAGGAGGACTGGGAATGAAACTGGAGGATCTGTGACTGAAACCATAGGTTCTGCTGAACAGTACCAGTTACACTGCATGTGGAACTGGGGAGCACATAGACTTTCTTTTTGCATTATAGCCCTGCAAGGGAGGCAGATACTGCATATTGTAAGGTGACTTAAAACACCTGAGGTGGAAAGAGGCATTATAGAATGTGCTTAGGGCTTTTACCAAGCATTTTGATTCATTTCCGTCTCAATTAATGACAGGCGTTCCATTGATTCCTTTAGGTTCTTCTACTGTCTATAATTTGGCATACACACTATGAGACGGACAGGCCAGGGCACAGGATCGATTAAATTAGCATCTGAGCAATGTGTCTAAGGTTTAATGCCTTTTTCTGGGGGTCTGTTTTCTCTCATTTCTGGATAAAATTCTTAGAAAACCTTGCTCAAATCAATGTCTTGTGATTTTACAGTTGTGTCAGGGCAAGTTTTACTGCAGGACCTGGTAGTGCAGAACAAATCTGGGTTTTCTGCTGGCCTTTCATAGGGAATGCAATAGTGAAAAGGGGAAGAGCAGTCTTAGGAAGGCCGTGGAAGCCTGGAGGATGGGGACTGTGCTTTCCTGACTGGTAGGAGGCACTTGCTGGGAAAGCTTGGTGGAGGCTCTGCCAGCAGCAAGGTCCTGCCACATGCCTGGCTTCCACCAAGTTTCAGCTGAATGAAAAGGCTGGTGAAGTGCTAAAAGCTACCCAAGGCAAAAGGGCTTATACTAAGCTGAGAAGGGAGAAATCAACTTCTTTTTTTTTGTTTGTTTGTTTGTTTTTTTTTGTGGTGTGTTATCCAATGAGATACAGCTGTATCTCCATGCCAGACTGCACCATGCCAGAATGATGATGAGTGTGGTGCTTTAGTTTGACTGAAGACAGAAAGAGCTCAGCCTGGGGATTCCCTCCCCATTCTGTTGTTTATTATACAACATCGCGGCACCTAACAAACCATTAATATTTAAATAATACAAACATTGCTAAAGTAAGTCCTTAATGACTGTTTTGGAAGAGCATTGATACCATAAATTCTGATGAGGCTCAGCACTTCCAGAATGTCTGTTATTATCCTCATTTAATATGCAAATTAGTAATGGCTCACTACAGTGAAGGTCATACAAGGAGGTATTTGAAGAGAGAAAAAAAATAAAATGCTCTTGGCTTTATGTATTGTGCTCTGCCTCCTCTGGGAGGGCGGTGTCAGATGAAGTTGAAAACCAGCATCAACAAGATTTGCTGTAAAATAATATTTAAAGTTTTAACTTCTAAATATGCTGCTAACATGAGCAAACCATTTATATTTGCAGTGGTGATAATAATAACTTGGTGATATCCTGAATGAATTTTTTATGGTATGATCAGGGACAATGATGAGATATAAACTATGTGATTTATTTTTTCCCCTCTCCATTTTGTATAATATTTCCTCAAATGAATGTTGAACTTTTATAGATTTCCTGGTTTTCTTTAGTGAACTAAACTAAAAGAAAGTATTCAAAGCAAAAACTAAATGTATTTTAGAAGAAGAGGAGAAAATCTATTTTTCTCAAATAGAAAACTCTTCTACAGGCACACTAGGAAGCAAAGGAAACTGAAAAAAAAAAAATACTTGCCTCTTCAGATACTCTAGCAGTTTAGCAGTAGAAATTTTTATTCAGTGAGGTACAGGTGGTACACTAGGTTTTATTTTTTGGTGTATAAAACTTTTAAGTGCATACTGGTTTCTCAGAAAACATTTTAGTTATTATTAATACTAATAACATAGAATAGTTATTAATAATTTAACACCCTGGGAACATGTAAATCAAAATAAATGACAAATAAAATTCCTTCTAATTCAGACTGCATACAAATTTAAAATGTTAAAAATATCCCAGATGTATGAATTTTGATTCTTAGTCATCTCTAGGCTGAGGATCTGTTAATCTTTTGTCCATCTCCATCTTTTGTTCTATCTCCAATGACCTGCAAATGATAAAAAAACTGCAGTGACCCAAAAAGTTTGAAGCAAAGGGGGACTGTAACCATCACGTTGTCATGTGGAGATAAGAATGGAGGAATGACCCCTGATGCTGAGGAAATCAATTATATTAATTGATGTTCTGATGTGTGCAAATACATTTATTTTGTTGCTCTTTGTGAAAGTAAGACAATATACCTGCTGCATGGCGGCCGAGGCCAGGTACCTCACCAGCAGCTGGGGAGCACTGCAATGGCTATTACTGCTCCTTGAAAGTTAAAGTTGAGATTTTTCAGTTACCTAACTCAAAATTAATAAATTATTTTGACGTCCCAAATCTTGAAAATCAGAAATTGAGCTCAGGAAGTGTAAATCACTAATGTCTCTAATTCTGTACCTACAAACAAGAATAAAACAGGGAAATGCTCTAAATATACTTAAGACACAGAGTGGCATTCAGTCAGTAACTGGAAACATAACTTATAAAAAATCTCGTTAGGAAGATGAGGTCAAATGCACCAAGGAAAATATATTAAGACATTTAGTTAAGAGCCCTGATTCATGAGAACATTACAGGTTTGAGGGTTGTAATCCCCATAAAACTTAAATTGCTTTTTGTCGTCTTCATTTATCAAACAATTGATTTTTTCCTGCATTATTTCTTCATTTGGTATACTTTTCCAGGCTATACTGTAGCAGAGTTTATTTCAGAACTAACATATGTGTAAATATGTATTAAAAACCAAACCAAACAAAAAAACACACACAAAAACTTCTGAAAAGGTTTGTGAAAGATGTTGACATTTTATTTAAAGATGTTTTTTCCTATTTTTTCTTTAACTTTTCAGCTATGCCAAATGCATAGTTGTTTCTCCTAACATATTAATAATAGGATTATATACAAATAATAAATGTTGTAGTAAATACATACAGATAGGGTGTGTGTGTTGGGGGGGTAAACAAAAACCATCACTTTTTCAGATGCGATCCATTTTTCCCAGTTTATTCTGATGTCCTGTTATGGCTGTACAATATTTATTGAACAAATCTACTCATTTCATTTTCTTTCTTTTCATTCTTTTTTTTTTTTTTTTTTTTTTTTTTTAAATCATCAAATGTATTTCATAAAATTTTAAATATTTTTATTATTTCCAGCACTGTATACAAAATTGCAGCTTGACCATTGGGAACAAGTAAAATAACATGCAGTATTATTACACAGTAATACACAGTATTGAAAGACAAATCATTTACGTTTTCTTTATGTTACTCTGGAACATATGAGTCACAATATATTAAATCAATGGATAATTTCTGTTAAACATTTAAAATAAATTTATGCATAAAATGGGGCTACTTTTAAATGAAAACCAAATACCTTCATACTCTGAGTTTGCAGTCCCTGACCAGCTGATGAAAACATGTCCTTGATTTGAATTTTTACTGTTGTATCAGATGAGAACATTTTCAGTCTTAATGAAACAATTCAGCACAGTGACCATGAAAATCCTTTGCTAGTAGGTTATTTGTCTGAAACCATTTGCTTGAAGTACACAGCGTACTCCTGTAGTCCAGGCTGGTGAATTTTCAAACCAGTGTTCGCTGGATGTTTTGGCAGCTCACTCTTGGACTTGTGGTCTTGTTTTCTTCATATTTCTCTTCTGCAGTGTCCTCTGCTGACCTGTTGAATAAGTGTAGGTTCTGATGCATTTCTATGCTCTGCTTTTACGTGGATGCAAATTCACATGAGTCTCACTTCTGCTGGAATCAGTCGCACCTGGCGCTTAAAGGATGAGGCAAGGAACCTGACAGCAGTCCCTTCCCTGAGTATCTACCCTCCAGTGAACATCAGCACCAAAGTCCCTAAATCTGCCTCCCACGCACAGACTGGCATTGGCTGGAGAGATGATGTTCCTGCAGATTGGAAGGAAAAATGCCTTCTGTTGGAAATATTTCTTGCTGTCTTTTCATGGCTGCAGGTGGCTCCAGCCTGGGAACCATCCCGGTACGTTCATCCCTTTGTCATCAAGCTGACAGTCACTTTTACTTAAGGCAGCTCTTCTCCCTCCCTGCCACGTGCCCTCCTGTTAATTATGGGGAAGGATGACTTCCCATTGTAGCCTTGTGTTATCGTGGGAATCTGCCTTCTTGTCCTCGCGCGTAAAACAGTTCTTCCCGAAGGTGCGGGCTGGCAGGCAGATGTGTGCCTAAACCCAGCCCACGCAGGGAAGTGTGCCGGCCTGGGTTGCACAAGTGACACTGGCCATGCAAAATAGTCTCTGATGGAAAAATGGCAATTTTTAAACCTCGTTGTGCACTGGGAACAGGTGAATGTGAGCTCCTACATGGTCTTGTATCAGGCATCTGTTTTGGGAGCTGCAGAAAGCTAAGGGAGTCTCTGTGTCTCTTTGATTGTTTTTTGAATCCTTAAATGTAGCATAGCTTGGGCTGGATGTAATCAGCAAACACATTTAATTTTTGTAAGTTTCCACATTTCTAAGGTAGTGTTTTGGAAGGAAACAGCATTTTGGTGTGTTTTGTGGAAGAGGGGCAGAGTTAAGACGAGATGGATGTGACTTTTCAGGACTGTCTTGAAGGAGACAGAAGTTGAGTTGTCCAATATGTCCTCTGTCACCTCAGACTCCACAGCTGCTTAAAACTGCTGACCTTGAAAGCTAGTGGCTCCTTTTTGCCAAATCTCAGGTAAATAATTAAAAATGCCAAGTATAAAAGAAAAAAAAAGGTTAAAATATGACAGAAAGCAGTAGTGTGATGCAAGATCTTTTAATGAGAATAAGAAGCACTGTATACAGCAGTTACAGCTTGTAGACAAGGAGGAGTATCCAGAGATTCATACATTCTAGAAGTAAAGAGTTTCTACATCTCGCAACAGATGCTTTGCTCTGGGGCTGCAGTGGTTCAGTGGACCAGAGCTGTCAGCACAGTGTGTGGCAAGGATCGGCTGCTCTGGTCTGCATCTCCTGACACAAAGCTGCACATCAAACACACAGTATATCCACAGAGATAGACTATGAAGGAAGAACTGACCCTAGAAGCAGGTTATTCGAAGCAGAAGAAGACATTATAGAGAGTTGCTAAGTGCTCCAGGACATTCCTGACTGCAGTTGTCGTCATGGGAATATTTGCAGGTAGAATTCATACAGGAGCCATAAATCACTATTCTGCCTTTAGCAGGGGTAGCAGGGGTAGCAGCTCCCATAGCTGTACCTCCGGATGTAGCGAGTGGAGCAGGGGTAGTAGCGGGAGCTGTAGCTGGGGTAGCAGTCGCGATACCCGTACAGGCCCCCGTAGCCACGGTAGCCACAGGGACTCCCACAGTCGTAGGTGCGGTAGCTGTACACGGTGCCGTAGCTGCACGGGGAGTAGCAGGAATCCTCACACTGGTTCTGGTAGTAGTAAGTCATCTTGGTGTGATGGAGGGAGGCAGGCCTGGAACACAGCAGAAGGGAAAAGGGTAAGGTCTGCCCCAGAGACCAAGCAGCAGCTTTTGTCTTGTAGCAAACCCCACAGAAGCTACAAGAGGAGACGAGAGCAAGGAGAACATGGGAACCAACCAGACATCACCACTCAGTGCTACACCCTGGTTCCTGCTCACCCAGCTCACTCCTGTCTGTTTCCCTTCTTTTCCTCCTTAATAACCTTTCATATTGCTTTTTCTTGTTGCCTTTGCCTTGGAATCAGCAGTCTGATTTCAAACAGTACTGTACAACTGTTTGGTAGGATTAGTTTCTCTGTGAGGATTTAGCTGTTTCTGCCTCTACCAGTGTCTGACCTTTCCCTGAGGACTGGAAGTGAACAGCCCCCAGTTCAGTAGTGGATCCCACCAACTCCTGGGGGCAAGAAAAGATGCCAGGGAAGGAATCCTCCCTTTGTGCAAGTTGGCGGCAGGTTCTTTGTTCAGACCTGCATCAATGCATCAATTATGAGTTGAATATATACCTGTCTTTTTGACTAAAATAATTGGAATAATGTTATACCTTGTCCACTTGAAAATAAAGAAGACAGATGCTTCTGTATAGCATAAAGTAAGGACATTTCTGAGAGCATAGCTAGATGCAACAATCTTGTAAGCTTATGCAGCTGTACTGATATGCCATTTTTAACAAAAAGAATTGCACTGGCACAGCTCTGAAATCACACCCTTTTTTTAACTACCCCTTTACTACAATATAACAAAAAGACAGCATCAATACAGCAATAAAGTTGTTCTAGTAAGTCTCACTTACCAAGCTCAGTGAGAACGTAAGTCCGGAGATGCGAGTAGAGAGCCCTGAATTTCTCTCCCTTTTATATATTTATCTGACCAAGCCTACTATGCTTTAAACTCGTATTCATCACAAAACAAATTTTCTTGTGCACGTCATTCTTTCAGTTGATGTAATTGTTATTCTTGGTTTGTGATTATTAGTCAGTTCTTGGCTTCCAAAAGCATGACATCGCATTGTAGTTTCTTTCATGTTCAGACTTCCTGAGTCAATTGTATTTCTAGAATTGGTGTGGTGAAATCTGAGCTATAACAGGAAAGGGAAGGAAGGATATTGAGAGCAGAAGTGATTGACACTAGCAATCCCAGTTTTGGAGGAATGAATGAATTTCAGTATATGAAATCTGCAATGATTCTGGATTTTATTAAGAAGAATTTCTTTCTTCCTTTCTTTCTTTTTCTTTCTTCCTTTCTTTCTTTCTTTCTTTCTTTCTTTCTTTCTTTCTTTCTTTCTTTCTTTCTTTCTTTCTTTCTTTCTTTCTTTCTTTCTTTCTTTCTTTCTTTCTTTCTTTCTTTCTTTCTTTCTTTCTTTCTTTCTTTCTTTCTTTCTTTTCTTTTCTTTCTTTCTTTCAAAAGTAATAGTCCACAGAAAACATTTTTCTTGTTTGTTTGCTTTTGTTTCACAATTGCATTTTTTAGGTCAGAATATTATGATTTTTATTTATTATTTGTTTGTATTATTTCTAGCTCAAAAATAGAAGTACAAGAAAGATGTTTGGAGTAGAGGAGAGATCTGAAATGTTTTTGAATAATAATAATAAGTAGGAGACAAGGCTTTATGAGAACAGTAAAATGAAGGCTGTAGAAATCTTTAATAAATATAAAGGCTTTCAACCAGAAATACTGATATTTGAAATTTCCAGGCTTTGCACCTTATACAAAACATAACAAAACAACAACAACAAAATCTCACAGGTTCAGTCTACTGGAGATCATTTCCTAGCAAGGTAAATGCAAATGTAATTGGATTCAAAAATAATGTCTTTTTTTTTTTTTTTTTTTTTTTTTTTATTGTTTACACCTAGATCAGAAAAATGATTCATGCGTTAAAAGGAACAAGATAAAACACACCGGAACATATCTGTGTAATAACTGTATTTTTCCTGAGAAGTCCCCCAGATCCTAAATATTGTTTAATGGGACAACTTTGTAATGTTGTTGAGGTGTTTAACTTAATGTTGTTAATGACGGTGAATAATGCTGAGCCCTGTGAGCACAATATGACCTGGTAAGCAGCACATCCCAGTCTTTCCCGGTGACCTTCACCTCAAAACTGCTGTTTACTCGCATCTAAAGGTTGGATAATAACAGGCATGACAGATGTTCTGGGCCTTTCTCTAAATTTTGAATATCAAAGCCTTCATTAATACTTATTAAAGATTTCCATGTACAAAGAGATTTATTATTTAAATATTAATGCTATGTTACTGGAAAACGCCCCAGTATTATGTAACACAGTTAACTAAAAACGTATATCGGGTTATCCTATTTCTGTGCATTATTAAGGTTGTAATTTATAGCTTTGGAATTGGGTCTCTGGAAGATTTTTTTTTCCTAAAAAGACGTCATACACATACCATTTTAAAATTTATAGGCCAATTTTCTAGCTGAATCAATCAGCACAGCAATATCCTATTGCGTGATGGCATCAAATCAAAGAGATGGTCTTTTCCCCTTTGCTAGTCACAGGAAATGGTGGAAGGGTTTGGTAGGAACGCGCTGTTTCACAGGTGATTAAAGTTATGAAATACTTGAAATGGAGAGGTCATGTCTTCTACAGGAATTTCAGGAAAAAAATGCACAGGAAGGTGCATGGGGCAAAATGCACAGTGAGGCTGGGCCTCCAGAAAAATGGGATATTTGGCAATTCGCATGCCTTTGCGTATTCTTTTGACTTATTGCTGTACAGTACAAGTGAATTCAGCACGATGATACCAAAGCTTAATTGCTCTATTTTTGAGATGAAAGAAGGAGACCCGCAGGGTGTAGCCTGCATGTCACAGCGCCGGACCAATAATCAGAAACCTTGGCGAGAACCGGTATATCAATGAGAGGAGTCATGAAGGAAGCAAAATGTGTTCGGTAATTGGAGCCGACCCAGGCGCAAGCATGCCCTTCATGCGCTGGGCGGGACTGGGTGCTCTATAAAAGCCCGCGCTGCTGACAGCACTGCATTCACTTCTCCTGCCTTAGCCTCTTTGCAGAAGTGGGTAAGTCAAAATAAATTTAAAAAAACTAGTGGAAAATGGATAGATGAGTTCATTACTTTTTTGCCCCCTCCTTTCCCCCATCCCTCTTTAAGCTGCAGATGCTATAAATTAACGCATTGGGAAATAGGGTTGTGATTTTATGAGCATTATTTACACATAATATTCTTTTCTCCCTGTGTCTTGATAAATATTTTAGTGTTTCAGTCCTGTACATATCTTTCTTTTCCCTTAAAGTCTTTATTTTGGTATGTCTATGAAGGACTTTCCTATTTATTCCCTGACAGCTCCCATCCAATGCAGGCAATATTGTTTGTAATTCCACCTTGCATCAGGATGCTGCAGTCAGTGGGGCTGGGCAGGAGAACTCAGAAAGGCTGACGGGGATGGAGCATTATGGGGAAGACTCAGAATTAAAATTCAGGATAGAACAATAGACAAGCACAGAGAGTGTCAGGAAGCATGCTTTTTCTTCTTCTGCGCATTCACAGCATTCATTTGAAATTTGCTGTTAGAAGCTCCCCCTTATAGACTTTTTCTTTCCTGCTGTGTTCCAGGCTCACCTCCCTCCATCGCACCAAGATGACTTACTACTACCAGAACCAGTGTGAGGATTCCTGCTACTCCCCGTGCAGCTACGGCACTGTGTACAGCTACCGCACCTATGACTGTGGGAGCCCCTGTGGCTACCGTGGCTACGGGGGCCTGTACGGGTATCGCGACTGCTACCCCAGCTACAGCTCCTGCTACTACCCCTGCTCCACTCGCTACATCCGGAGGTACAGTTATGGGAGCTGCTACCCCTGCTACCCCTGCTAAACCCAGAAGGATCTGATGGGAAATGAGGACTGAGACTTAATATCTGGATTCACGGACTCTGTTACAGGGATGGCTTGTGGGAGCTCTGAGTCCAGAACAGCAACTGAAAGCAGTAGTGTTTTGGAGAGCTCAGTGCTCCTGTAAAAATTCTTCAGTGTTCTTACAAAATGTTGTTTTGTCTTCTTCCTTTCCTACTGACTTCTTTACTCCTTGGGTTCTGGTAGTATAATGAAACAGGGCATAATGGGAGTGTAAACAACATCTTAACTTATTTATAATTCTTTCCAAGCTAACATTAATGAAAGATGTAGTGCCCTGGTCCTCCTACGGACATGTTTTTCAGTTCCCTGCTTTTGAAACTATACCAAAAAGAAACTGAATCATTTGATTAATTGAACTAAAAAAAAAAAAAAAAAAGGAATTGTTTGAAAATGGAAATTGATAGTAAAATGCTGCCGTAGCAGCTCAAATGGCACCAACAAAAATAGGTGATTTTCTGCATAAATTCATCTCTGTATGTATTCTTCCTGCTTCTGCTTTCTGTATCACATTGGATTTTGATTGTAAGCTTTATCCTTATTAAAAATGTTATAGCATCATTACTTCTCCTTGTTTTTTCCTTTTCTGACTCACATGTATGCAGATTTTTGTCTCCAGCTCAATACATGTTGGTTGGTTTTCCCGAGATATAGTGAGTTCTCTAACTTTGATGTAGTTTTTCAGCTGAACCTGAGCTCACCTTTGTCAAACTAATAACCCCGTAGTACCTTATAAAATGAAGTGACCCATTATGGAATTTCCTAGAAAGGATTTGGAAAGATTTCTTTAAATTTGCCTTAGCATCACACTACATGCCCGGACATTGAACATAACAGCTACCAGCACCACATCTTAGTGGCTTATAAATGCATAAGTCTGCCTGTGGGCAAACCCATTTTAACTGGTGAGTAAGCCAAAAATTTGGAAGAAAATCATTCTTTTCTCAACTGCTCTTGTGGTGGCAGTATCTGGAACACTTTCTGGATTTAAAGATCTTACTTGTTATAGAATAGAAAATCGCACACTTTCTGTTCACCTTGCTAACTCATAAAGACAAGTGTTTGCAACTGTTACTGTAAGGCTTCTTTTGAATGACAATGAATTGGCATGCATTTCCCTGTCTGCACAATCACACTGGTTATTAGGGTGAGATCCCTTGATGCATCCTGAAGTGACTCTATTATTCATGACTGAAGTACCTAACTGGCAGCAGTAGTAACCTCTTAATAGTATGATGCTGTAACAACGTCTAGCCATAAAATAGCCAGTGAAGTGCTTTGAAATCCCCATTAAACCCTAGAACCTGTATTGTGAATGTAATTGCCATTCTTTGAACACACACAGAGGCACTTTGATGGCGGTCTCAAAAGAGGAATAGAGCTCAATTGTGCTATGATACACCTGGGTGCATGAGTATAAATTACATTGAACACCTTTGCAAGAAAGCTGTGGGTTGTGCTTCCAGCAAGTTCCAGGACAGAGCTTTCTCATGGCTTCTGAGGAGTTTGTTTCTGGGAAGGTGCTCACTGACTTTGGTGCCTGACATGTTTGTTCCTGGAGCACAGTGCAGATTGCTGCTCAACCTGTATCTTGACATTAAGGCATATAAATTTAGCTGGTCATTATTCTGACATTATAACTGGCCATAATTTCAAGTTTTCAATATCTAAAGCTACAAAATAAAATCTGGAAATTACTAAGTGTCTTACAGTGCAGAAGTAAGAGACTGAGAGCTTAAAATAATCACCATTACAGTATCACAGTGGTTCTACAGATTGTTTATGGACTTAACAGGGGACACAGGTAAAAGAAATGGTTAAAAACGCCCCAAATGCCACATAAGTATGTATCTTTCTTCAGCTCCAGGAAATGTTAAGATAAGGTTAGAAAGAAATCCAGTTTTCTAAGATGAAAAGACAAAGATACTAATTGAAGTGTCTATTACGGTTGTTTGTACAGACCCACATTTTAATGAAAAATTTGAAGGCTATAAAATCCCATTCTGACTAAAGCATATATAGAAATCTCTCCATATGCATGTTTGAAGTGACTATTATTCAGTAATGAAGCATGTAATGAGAACAGTAAGCATTTAATACAGTAATAATACACTATGAATGTATTAAATAGTTACAAGCATCTGAGAAGTGCTTTGAACTTCTCAGACTACTTAGCATGAAGAAATCTGGAGATATTGTACACTTCTTGGGAAAAGGATCTCTAAGCAATAAACAAGTTATATTTTTTCATTTGAAGTCTATCCCTTGCAATAAGGATATTATCTTGTTTGCATCTATTGCATGCTACAGCTCAAGGGTCAGTATTACAAGCTGTTCAACCTCCCACAAACTCTTTAATAACAAATTTGCCATCTGATTTCTGATAATATGGCTTGAGATTAATTATCAAAAAGTCTCTAACCAATACAGAAAATTAAAAGATAAATTTAGAAACACAAACACACCAAAAGCAAGTTGTTGCTGCAATGGAGATTCTTTAATATGGATGGAAAAGGCAATAGACACTGACAGCAGAAAACAAAACATCACAGAAACAATGAATTAGAATCATAAAAATCACAAGTCAAGACACAGTCCAGGACTTCACCTCAAAGATTTCCCCTTCTCAGCATCATTCAGGAACCCCTGATCTGGGCAGAGGGAAGACACTCACTCGAGGATGAGCGCTGCTCTGCTGTATTGCAGATAGAGGGGAGCTTTTGAAGGCATTGCTGGACACCCTGAAACCCCCAGATATACATCTGCAAGGTTATTTTCTGCAAAAAAGCAAGGAGCAGTAGATTAAAGTAGCTGCTTTGACAGATCTGAAAGAGGGACTGAAAAATTTATTCTGCATCTGGTGGTAGAAATCAAAGGTAGCTGTTTGTAAAGGCTCAAGGCAGATGCAGCACTGCATTCCATGGGCCTTTGGAGTTTAGCAGGGCCCGCAGTTGCCACTGAGATACCTGTGGCTTAGAGCCCAACCTCCATATCCACAGCTCCCAAAGGCTCCATAGCCCCCATAACCTCCAATGCCTCCATAGCCCAAAAGGCCTCCAGAGCCCAAAAGGCCACCATAACCCCCAAGGCCTCCAGAGCCCCCAAAGGCACCACGGCCTCCAAAAGTGCCGCCAAAGCCCCCTGCAACAGCCGGGACTCCTGCCGAGCCGACCACGGCATGCTGAGGGAAGGAGCTGAGGATGGGTCCAGGCAAGGTGAGCACCGTAGCCGGGGGCTGGATCACCACGGTGGAGTCGGGGCACTGCCGCACGCAGGGCTCGTTGGCACTGTCAGCCAGGGGTGCCGGGGCGGCCACCCCACACAGAGGCACACACAGGCTGGAGCAGGACATCCTTTGATTTGCAGGCAAAGCTGTGAGAGAAGGCAGAGCAGGGGTCAGAACATAACCGCATTGCAAATACCCTGTGGCTCTCTTGTTCTTGGAGCTTGTGCCCCAGGAAATGCTCTGCATCATATCAGGCAGTCAGAGCATAAGGACAGTATTCATTTACAAAGCTGGTGTAGATCACTTACTCTCCCTGGCCCTAAGGACACAGGAAAAACCACATCATCCAAAGTACATGGAAAGAGACTGAGCACTCAAAGGACTTAGTTGTGTTGGGAAGCTCAAAGCACCATGCCTAAAGTTTCAATATCCATCCTTCCCATAGCTGTGAAACACTACCATTACAACCAAGCCTATTCAACACTGCAAAAAGAATGGTAGAACAAACACCAATAGATGCAATTGATGAAATGACTGCTGAGGAATAGAAGAGGCACATAAGACGTGGACTTACCCAAGAGATCTGGTAAGAGACAAATGGAAGATGCAGGACAGAGGCCTGTGAAACCCTCTGTGCTTTTATACCTGTCTCAGACAGCCTGTGGCATCAAACAGGTGTGGAAGTCCCAGATATTCATGCAATAAAGACAACATGAATCATGACACACGTGGAAATGCAAAGCAATTTTATACCTCCCAACTGGGGACACTGAGGCTTAAACGTACCTTGGGGAAGAGGAACATGATGAAAGGGATAAGCCGTGACAGTCACTTAAAAGACCAGCCACTGCTGAAGCTGACCTCATGGCACCAATAAACCCCAATGAGTTCCAAAACCCCCAGGCAGATCTGGCTTCACCCAAAACACCAACACAGCTACAGCTCTTTGCTTGGCCTTCAGGCGAATTGGAGAGCAAGGAGTAGCACATGGCCCACAGGGCAGAGAGAAACTTAATGGTTAGGGATGATCCTAATCTCCCCCCTGAGTGCCTTGCAGCCCTCGCCTGTACAGGGTGATGGTGAGTGTCTGGGAGCTTCTGCAAGTGGCTGTGATGGCTTCATCCCTTTACCCAAACTTCCACCACCTCTGTTTACCAGCCTGTAAAATGGAGGTAATGACAGGAAGGCTGGCTGTGTACAGGATTGCAAAGCACTTCTTCGACCAATAGCCCATGACTCTTCCACACAGACAAAGTTTGGGATTAGGAAGAAATCAGGCTTTTGGTGTTCCAAGGTCAGTTTCAGCAGTGGATGGCCTTTCATGAGGTTATGTGTAAAGGCCTATTCATCCCATCAGCATCCTGTTAACCAGAGCAAGTTTGCATTTCAGTGTCCCCAATGGGGAAGGATATAATTGCCCCAAATCTCCACATTTGTCATGATTCATGCAGGCTTTTTTGCCTGAACATCTGGGGCATTCACCCCTGCATGCAGCCTGATGCTGCAGGCTCTCTAGGACAGGTATAAAAGGGCTGAGGGCTTTGCAGCCCTCTATCCAGCTCCTTCCAGTTGTCTCTAAACAGATCACCTGGGTAAGTCGTGCTCTTGGAGGCTTCTCGGGGCTCTCTCCCTGCCTCCATCAATACAGCCTCTCCCCAGACCCTTGCCTAACTCTGCCTGCCCTTTGCAGTACTCCTTGCCTACGTGGAAGATGTCCTGCTCCAGCCTGTGTGCCCCTGTGTGCGGGGTGGCTGCCCCGGCCCCGCTGGCTGACAGCGTCAACGAGCCCTGCGTGCAGCAGTGCCCCGACTCCACTGTGGTGATCCAGCCCCCGGCCACGGTGCTCACCTTGCCTGGACCCATCCTCAGCTCCTTCCCTCAGCACGCCGTGGTCGGCTCGGCGGGAGTCCCGGCTGTTGCAGGGGGCTTTGGCGGCACTTTTGGAGGCCGTGGTGCCTTTGGGGGCTCTGGAGGCCTTGGGGGTTATGGAGGCCTTGGCGGCTATGGGGGCTATGGAGCCTTTGGGAGCTGCGGATACGGTGGCTGGCGCCGGGGTCACAGGTACCTCAGTGGCAACTGTGGGCCCTGCTAAGCCCACCTCTGGCTCCAGTCTATGATGAAGGTGAGGTCTGGAATTGCCTTGCAATATTCCCACCTGATGTTGCCATTAAAGGCTCCGCTGTAGCATCATCAAATTGAAGAGCTTGGAGGTCTTGTGCCTGCATGGGGCTCCTCTGTGCTTCTCCTTCCTGTTTGAGCTTTGCTTTAGGAATCAATGCCCCACAATGATGCAGCCAAGAATTGGACGCCTCCTGTTGCAAGGCTGCTGCTCACCAACGCTCTGCCTTCTGCAAGGAGTCAGGGGCTGCCCTTCTGCCATCTCCCTGCTCCCCTGGACCTGAAATAAAAGCTCTGTTACAACACATTCTGGACCCTGTCTTTTCTGTGACACTTCCTGTGAGGCCTGGGAGCTGCCATCGGGGAGTCCTCAAGAGCACCACAGGCACTCCCTCAGCTCCTCCAAAGGCCCTGCACACACGGCCATTACAAGAGGGTCGCCACAGCCTCCCCAAGGGCAAACGCCTGGTTAGAGTCAACAGGGAGGCCAAGGGGCAGAGGAAGGAGGCTGAGGGACCCCCACCAGCCTTTCCTCCACCCCCTCCAGTTTCCCTCCTCTTCCTCCTAAATCTCCATGGAGCACTGGCAAGCTTTTCCTCACCACTGGGCCAGAAGCTCTTCCCTGGATACACAGCTTGCCTACCTGTAGCCGGGGGACACAGCTCTGGCCAAGTAGGACAGCAGTGCTCCACACAGCTCCATGCTGCAGACATGCTGCCAGGCCTTGGCTGCCCTTCCTCACACACCAGCACACAAAGCAGTCTGCATGGCCAGGCCCTCAGAACACCTGGCCATAACAGCCGTGATGAGGCACACCGGCTGCCTCCCACCACTCTGCCCTCACCCAGCATGCACGGGATGCTATGTGAGGCAGCACCCAGGGGTTGGCTGGCGGTCCTTGCACTGGAGCCTAGGGAGTGGTGCGGATGGGCAGAATTGGAAAAGATGTCCCCAAGCACAAGAGGAGACACACAAACTTCTGCGCAGGTGGTGGAGGAAAGCTGTGGCTGCTCTGACAGTTCACAGCCATTTTCCCCTTCCCCTGCCATGACAATTATGGGTGATGCATGTTCTCCTGAGCCCCCACCACTGACCAACGTGCTGCCCCGCTGCTCTTGTTGACTTCCCTCGCAGGAACAGTCTCAAAGAAAGACCACTGTGCAGAGCCAGGATCACACGATCAGAAGACACTTAGGGAATGAAGGGACATGAGGCGGGTACGGACACGAACCGCCTACTCAAGGCGTTTGTACTCCCTGGATCTGGATGGCTGCAATGGGTACATGGATGTGAGGGGAACCTGGGGCAGACTTGGTTGTGTCTCCTTCACCCCTTCCCAGTGCCACCACCTGCAGCTGTGCATGTGGGCACAGTCAGCAGGTGGCAGCAGCCCTGACCATGCAGTGGCCATCTCTCTGTCTCCCCAGACCTCCATGGCTGACCATAGAAAAGGCAATATAAAGGGGTCAAACATGCTGTGGTGGCTGTGCAAGTTCTCTGTCATGTTCTCCAAGTAGTATTGGGGATGCGTTGCCTTTCTACCCGGTGAGAGAAGGGAGGAGGTTCAGGGGCCTGTCCTCTACAAGACCCACCAGGGCCTCTGATCTTCAGTTGTAATGCCCTGCCCCAGCGGCCCAAAGACCTCAGTAGCAAAGGCAGGAGTGCAGCCAGCATCCCAACTGCCCTGGCTCTGGGTTTTGGGGGAAGTCTGGAAGTTTTGGAAGAAGAATGATGAAGAAATACCATGGGTCAAGAATGTGGTGCAACAGAGCTTTTATTGAAGGTCCAGGGAAGCAAGGAGACGGCAGAAGGGCAGCCCCTGGGCAGAGGCAGCCTCCAACTCCTTGCAAGATGCAGGGAGGAGGAGAGCAGCAGCCAGCCACAGGAAAAGGCAGTTCCATGGGGTTGCATTGTCATGGGGCAGCAAGTCCTGAAGCAAAGCTCGTCAGGGACATGATAAAGAGAGAGCTGGGCCCCATGCAGGCACATGACCTCCAAGCTCTAGAGACGAGTGACACCAAAGAGGAGCTTTTCCTGCTGGTGTCATGTCGGGACGTTCCAGGGCAGCTGAGGAGCTCTCCTTCTTCAGGGGCTGGAGCCAGACGTGGGCTTAGCAGGGCCCGCAATTGCCACTGAGGTACCTGAGGCCCCGGCGCCAGCCGCCATATCCGCAGCTCCCAAAGGCTCCATAGCCCCCATAGCCGCCAAGGCCTCCATAACCCCCAAGGCCTCCAGAGCCCAAAAGGCCACCATAACCCCCAAGGCCTCCAGAGCCCCCAAAGGCACCACGGCCTCCAAAAGTGCCGCCAAAGCCCCCTGCAACAGCCGGGACTCCCGCCGAGCCGACCACGGCGTGCTGAGGGAAGGAGCTGAGGATGGGTCCGGGCAAGGTGAGCACCGTGGCCGGGGGCTGGATCACCACGGTGGAGTCGGGGCACTGCCGCACGCAGGGCTCGTTGGCGCTGTCAGCCAGCGGGGCCGGGGCAGCCACCCCGCACACAGGGGCACACAGGCTGGAGCAGGACATCTTCCACGTAGGCAAGGAGTACTGCAAAGGGCAGGCAGAGTTAGGCAAGGGTCTGGGGAGAGGCTGTATTGATGGAGGCAGGGAGAGAGCCCCGAGAAGCCTCCAAGAGCACGACTTACCCAGGTGATCTGTTTAGAGACAAGTGGAGGAAGCAGGATAGAGGGCTGCAAAGCCCTCAGCCCTTTTATACGTGTCTCAGAGAGCCCCTGGCATCAAACATAGGTGGAAGCCCCAGATATTCATGCAATAAAACTGACACCCTTCACGACACACGTGATGATGTGGGGAAATTATATCCTTCCCCACTGGGGACATTGAGGCGCAAACGTGCCCTGGGGAAGAGGAATGTGACGGAAGGGACAGACCGTGACATGCAACTACATGAAAGGCCAGTCGCTCCTGAAGCTGACCTCATGGCACCAATAAACCCCAATGAATTCCTAATCCTAAACATTTTCTATGTGGAACAGTCACGTGCATTTTGCCGAAGAAGCACTTTGGTACCCTGTGCACAGCCAGCACACCTGTCATTATCCACCTTTTATGGGCTGGTAAACAGAGGTGTTGGAAGTTTGGGTAAAGGCATGAAGCCATCACAGCCACTTGCGGAAGCTTCCAAACACTCACTATCACCCTGTATAGGCAGGGGCTGTGAGTCACTTGGGTGGGAGTTGAGGAGCATCCCTATGATTGCCCTTCTCCCTGCCCCGTGGGACATGTGCTACTCCTTGCTCTCCAATTCACCTGAAGGCCAAGTAAAGAGCTGTGGCTATGTTGGCATTTTGGGTGCAGCCCAGTTGGCCCGGAGGATTAGGAACTCATTGGGGTTTATTGGTGCCGTGGGGTCAGCTTCAGCAGTGGCTGGCCTTTCATCGTCTGTCCCTCCCATCACCTCCCTATTTCCCAGTGCAAGTTTGCACCTCCATGTCCCAAATGGGGAGGGATATAATTGCCCCACCTCACCATATTTTCATGCAGGCTGTCAGCTTTATTGCAGGAATATCTGGGGCTTCCACCTATGTTTGATGCCAGGGGCTCTCTGGGACAGGTATAAAAGGGCTGAGGGCTTTGCAGCCCTCTATCCCGCTTCCTCCACTTGTCTCTAAGCAGATCACCTGGGTAAGTCGTGCTCTTGGAGGCTTCTCGGGGCTCTCTCCCTGCCTCCATCAATACAGCCTCTCCCCAGACCCTTGCCTAACTCTGCCTGCCCTTTGCAGTACTCCTTGCCTACGTGGAAGATGTCCTGCTCCAGCCTGTGTGCCCCTGTGTGCGGGGTGGCTGCCCCGGCCCCGCTGGCTGACAGCGCCAACGAGCCCTGCGTGCGGCAGTGCCCCGACTCCACCGTGGTGATCCAGCCCCCGGCCACGGTGCTCACCTTGCCCGGACCCATCCTCAGCTCCTTCCCTCAGCACGCCGTGGTCGGCTCGGCGGGAGTCCCGGCTGTTGCAGGGGGCTTTGGCGGCACTTTTGGAGGCCGTGGTGCCTTTGGGGGCTCTGGAGGCCTTGGGGGTTATGGTGGCCTTTTGGGCTCTGGAGGCCTTGGGGGTTATGGAGGCCTTGGGGGTTATGGAGGCCTTGGCGGCTATGGGGGCTATGGAGCCTTTGGGAGCTGCGGATACGGTGGCTGGCGCCGGGGTCACAGGTACCTCAGTGGCAACTGTGGGCCCTGCTAAGCCCACCTCTGGCTCCAGTCTATGATGAAGGTGAGGTCTGGAATTGCCTTGCAATATTCCCACCTGATGTTGCCATTAAAGGCTCCGCTGTAGCATCATCAAATTGAAGAGCTTGGAGGTCTTGTGCCTGCATGGGGCTCCTCTGTGCTTCTCCTTCCTGTTTGAGCTTTGCTTTAGGAATCAATGCCCCACAATGATGCAGCCAAGAATTGGACGCCTCCTGTTGCAAGGCTGCTGCTCACCAACGCTCTGCCTTCTGCAAGGAGTCAAGGACTACACTTCTGCCACCTCCCTAATCCCCTGGACCTGAAATAAAAGCTCTGTTAAAACACATTCTGGACCCTGTCTTTTCTGTGACACTTCCTCCATTCGCTTCTTCCTGTGAGGAGTGGGAGCTGCCATCGGGGAGTCCTCAAGAGCACCACAGGCACTCCCTCATATCCTCCAAAGGCCCTGCACACATGGCCATTACAAGAAGGTCACCACAGCCTTCCCAAGGGCAGACGCCTGGTTAAAGTCAACAGGGAGGCCAAGGGGCAGAGGAAGGAGGCTGAGGGACCCCCACCAGCCTTTACTCCAACCTGATCGATTTCTCTCCTCTTCCTACCACATCTGCATAGAGCACTGGCAAGCTTTTCCTCACCACTGGGCCAGAAGCTCTTCCCTGGATACACAGCTTGCCTACCTGTAGCCGGGGGACACAGCTCTGGCCAAGTAGGACAGCAGTGCTCCACACAGCTCCATGCTGCAGACATGCTGCCAGGCCTTGGCTGC